TCAAACATCATCGGCTGCGGTGGGTTCGGTTTGGTCTACAAGGCGGTGCTCTCCGACGGCAGAAAGCTGGCCATCAAGCGGCTCTCCGGCGAACACTTTCAGATCGAGAGGGAATTCCGAGCGGAAATCGAGACACTCTCTAGAGCACAACACCCAAACCTCGTACGCCTCCAAGGTTATTGCAAGTACAAAAAAGACAGGCTTTTGTTGTACACATACATGGAAAACGGGAGCCTCGATTATTGGCTGCACGAGAAAGTAGACGGCCCCACCTCTTTGGATTGGGAGACCAGGCTGAATATAGCCAAAGGGGCGGCAAGAGGGCTAGCTTACTTGCACCAATCGTGCGAGCCTCATATTCTTCATCGGGATATTAAATCGAGCAATATTCTATTGAATGAGAAATTCGAAGCTCACTTGGCAGATTTTGGACTTGCGAGGCTGATTCTTCCTTACGATACGCATGTGTCAACGGATCTTGTGGGGACTTTAGGGTATATTCCGCCGGAGTATGGACAGGCGTCGGTGGCTACTTACAAAGGGGATGTGTATAGTTTTGGGGTTGTGCTTTTGGAGCTTTTGACCGGAAAGAGGCCGATGGATCTGTGCAGGAAGAGAGAGAATCGGGATTTGATTGCTTGGGTGAGGGAAATGAGGAGAGAGGAGAGAGAAACCGAAGTTTTCGATCCGTTTTTGTACGAGAAACGAAATGCTGAGGAAATGGTGAGTGTTCTCGAGATTGCTTGCGTTTGTTTAAGTGAGAATCCGAAGATGAGGCCTTTTACGCAGGAGTTGGTTTCTTGGCTAGACAAAGTTGGTTCGGTGCCCGAAGACGAGTTGTCCTAATGTGGGCTCTCGGTTTTCGAAAGGGCAATTTTTTTTATTTCCCGGGTTTTTAGTTGTTCGATACGAAATGTATACTGGATATATGCTGTATATAATTGTTCAGATTATGGAGGAATAAGCAAGTATGTCATCTCCTTTTTCTCCCTTGAATCAGAAAATGAAATGTATATTTGGTTTTATTAAGTTATAGAAAATCTCACACAGTATCCACATCAAAAAAGAAAAGAGATAAAACATGGGCTGTGTTAGTTTTACTTGTACTTGGCCTGATTTTCTTACAAATTATATTTATGCGGGAAATCTTGTACTCTTTGAATGGTGATAATTGCGTCAATTACACATTTGATCCCCGAGTTCAGTATAAATACATTTGGTCCCTCGTAATTCAGTAATTAATATTTTTTTATCAT